CGTAGTATTACATTGATCTCCGATAAGTTTCAAAACAAATTAATGATCTACCACACAGCTGGCAAGACACGGAAGTTTTCGTTCTTCTTGGCAATCAAGCGACATTGGATGATAGAGGGTTAACTGAGAAGAATATTTTTTTGAGGTGAAGGACACTATGTTCTAGATCATGTGTTGTAACTCAAACCACTCCCATCGATCTTTTGAGATTCCTGGTGGTTTTCAGAGGATTTTACTCTTTTAAAAGGTTTCTCCTCTAATCGGAAGACGTTTTTGAGTTGGGAAATGTGAATAAAAAAATTTCGTTAGGATGAAAAATTTTACCTTAGTAAAAGAGCGTTGTCATGAGGGAACCTTTTCACCAAATGTTTATTTCGATAGGCCCTGAAATTGCGTAATTCACTCCCTGCATTTCGCACACGCCCGAAAGGATCTCTGTTTGTCCAGATTTCCAAGTACTTCAGAACTATCCTGATGTTGATTCGCTGATAGATCTTTACAAGAGACAAAAAATCAAAAGATATTTAGTTGGTAAATAATTAATTCATCCTTTATTGACTTTTGATATGTTCAGCACCATTAGTGAAATCTAAGCAATAAGAAGAATTGCGTAATGACTGTGTACTTATCGACAACAAAATCAAGTCAGATAAAAAAATTAGTGGAGTGCTTAGTGCTTGAAAAATGCAGTGATTATATAGGGACAGTTTCGTTTTTGGTCATCTCTGGGATTTAAAGGGTTAATCTATACAAAGACAGGGTGGATCTGGGAAAGGGGTTCAGGAGGTACTCACCCCCCCTGGGGATATAACGGATAAGAAAACTAGCACGAAATATAAATACGACTATGGTACGACTTCATCCTGAACCTTGATCACCCGCAAGCGAGGACAGTTTAACTTCACAAATTTTACAATCTATCTTAAATGGTTAAAGAAGTTTAAATGGTCAAACTACTTTAAATGCAGTTCAACTTCACAAATTGCACAATCCATCTCAACTGGTTGAATGAGTTAAAAATCGTGATCCCATCCTGGAAAATTTTGAAATTCTGACACAGGGCATTCAGAGTCACCATTACATTCTGATGCACCATGTCTTTTAAGAGTGACCAAGGCAAAACTTTTCCTTACACCATCAACACAATATCAATCAATCATCAAGCAGACAAGTGATGAGAATAAAGAGAAATATCAATCATAGCATTATACACTGATTTATTACCAAAGTCTCCGAACTAACATCGTAAGAATTGCATAGCACACAGTAAGGAGAATTACTAAAGCGATCTTGGGAAAGAGAAATCAAATAGCTGTTTTAATTCACATCATTGAAAGCGTTGTGATTTGTTTTAAGTTCAGCTTTGTTTTAAAGACCTTGAAAGAAATTGAAACTTTGTATTCAATGCCAACGGTATACTTTATGTACATCATGTTCGTATCTTCATAGACATTTCCAGCCAAAATCTGATGTTTTCCTTCGAAATACGTATTTTCTGTAAAGGTCAAGCACCTCTAAACAAAACTACCCAATGACTTACTTATTTTTCGTTGATTTTAACCGACTAAGTTAAGCAATTTTTTCTTTTCCTTCTGATAAAAGATGATTAAAGAAATGGTTTAAAAGAAGAAAAGCTAAAGTAAAGCTCCAAAGATAACTTACCGCATCAACAGTGTTCACTAATGTTATGACTCGATCTTTGATGACATTTTTATCCCTGTTATATTTCTGGTACTGTTGAAAGCAGACAACATGATCATTGTGAGGAAATTCAAGTTTTAGGTCAATTATCAGAACATTTTTGAGTTCGCGAACTCTA